ACTCATTTCTTAAATTTATCCACTTATTAAGCTAGTGAAAACAGACACCCATAATCAAGAAATATTTCATAACAAACTCAAGATTTCCAAAATTTCTTCAAAAAATATTTCTAAAAAGACCAAACTATGAACAAGGTAGTTAGCAGCAATAAAAAATGAGCAATTTCTCCTGAGATTACAGTTTCTAAAAAACCCATGCACCTCTAGCTTTTCTCCAGAAAAAGAATAGTCCTCTACCTTCCATAACTTTTCACTAATCAATTATTGAAGAACTTTGAATACAGAAAATAATTTATAAAATCATTTCGGAGTAAATATCATCCATCCGATAATCTGGCTTGTTCCACTACTTTTTTAAATCACAACTTCCATTACCGTTTTTTGAAAACAGTAATAACAATGGGCTCGAGTGGGAGGATATAACCTTGAATTTCTACCTTTCAATCAGGACTCAACACGGTTGCTCTAAAATAAAGATATGCATAATTGTGGCTTGCTTAGTTTTTTTACTTGAAAAAAAAAAAAAGAACCGAAGCAGATGAAGCATATATTCAAACTTATTCAAGAGAACCATATAAGAGAACCATATACTTTTAGTTTAAATCATGCTTCGAAAATTTCAATTAAACGAATACAGATCCAGCCATCCTATGCAATCCTATTAAGACTAAACACAACAGTGCTTAATGGAATAATACTAAATCCCGCAATACTGTCGAGTCGTTTCCATAACAATTTCTGCCGCAAAGTCGATTATCACGATTTATAAACAATGCAAAGTTCAAATCTAACTGTTGTCTTACGACCGGAAGAAGACAAGAGTGCGATTTACTGGCTGCTTATTACAAACAGATTGAAATGATTTATATCTTCTGGAAGTACTGGATATATGGTAAGGAGTCAAGAAAGCCACATATATGCATATCTTCATGAATTCGAGCAAAACCACTACTGTTAAACGTCGAAATAATCAAAGAGTTTAATTAGTTACAGAAACTGATTGTTTTTGTTCTAAAACGAAACTAAGAAATGAGAAAGAGTACTTTTGAAGCATTGCACTGCGTTGTATCATGCGTTCAGCGAGACCATCGTCTTCATCGCGCGGTTCCAACATCTCAACAACTAACGGCTTCGGACTTCTGCAATGTGTTTTCAAAAATTTATTAACCAATAACATATATTTTTTCAAACCAAAAATACATAACTTCGAAATCTTCTTTCGACTACTTGAGTCGACAATATTAAACGATATCAAGGCCGTGAAACACTTAGAACAATCCAAGAAAATGCATCGTTTACCTTTAATCCGAATATTACTGCACCAATTATCTCATGTATAAAGAGAAAGAAACTCACGCTGTCAATAAGAACACTTTTTCTCGTATCTGATGAAGTGCCTCATTAGCCGATGGCTTACGCTCGAATTCCACTATTCCTTCGCCGGTTGGTTTGCCCTTTTCATCAACTATATGAACTGCTCGTTCTACTTCACCAAATGCCGAAAACGCATGATAAAGCATTTCGTTCGATACAGTTGGTGAAAGTTCCTTTACTCTCAACGCTGCACCATGGACTGCAAATCGTACACGAACTGGACGACCATGTATTATTTTGCCGTCAATAGCTTCTTTAGCACTTTCTGCATGAGCTCGTGTATCCTGAAATAAATTTTGAAGATATACAGTATAACTTGTACAAAGGAAATAAAATGAAGATAAAACCAGAAGCGACATGCCAGAACTAACCAGTCGTAAAAATGCAAATCCTTTGCCACTCAAATAGCATTCTGCGATATCACCATGAGGTGCGAAGAGTTCCTTCAGCTCCTGCTCTTTCAAATCATTTGGCAAATTACCAACAAATAAACGGCATCGACCAGTGAACTTCTTTTTTGGCAAATCACTCATCAGATCGGTTTCACTGAACGCTTGCCCAGAAAGAACATTCATCGAAGACATCATATTCATTGGTCCTCGACCACCACCACCACCTGGTCCCATCCCCATCCCACGATTTGGTTGTCCACCAGATGGGCCTCCCATATTGCTCGACGAATTACTATATTGGTATTCGCTTGATCGGTGATGATGCCTTAATATTACTGCCATTAAAATCTGTTGCGGAAGACCCCGTATGAATCCTAATATACCAGTAAATCACCATCGAGATCTTTTTTAGTAGTGGTAGAAAAAGATCTAAGGATAAGTAAATGATAACATGAAATGAAGAGGAAAAAGTGAAGATAAAAGTTTATACGGTTAAATGTGTTCCTATTATGATTTCTCATATACTATGGCACTGGGAATTTTGGAATCCATTATTCAGTTCTAATGTACGCAAAAACTGTGAGGATTCATCGTGCAATCAAAATATTCACACATATGATATAGCATGTAGAAGCAAAAATGTATTTCCATCTATTCAGCTATCATTTAAATGTATGTGTCACAAATTCAGTTCTATTACGTTTTCATATGGATTTTATTAAACCTTCACACAGTAGGTCAAATATGCTCAACAATGAAACAAAATAAGCAAAAAAAACCTTTCATTGGAAGATGTTCTGCCAGTACGATCACGCTCGTTCCTCTCTACCCGCTCCTCCTTAATTGCATTACGTGGACTTGCATTACTGCCACTTCCTGGTCTCCCACTGCTCACACTATTCCTCTTTACATCACCATCGTTACGTCCTCGATCACTCATCCTGCAAGTATGCCTACCTTAAATCTACCTCACGTGCCCACCTCACACAAACTCCCCACGCGTCAACCCAACCATACTCGAACAACAGGACAACACCCAACTTCCCCTATGGTTCCGTAATGACCACCAGGCGATCAATAAGCAGAGAATAGTGTCAGGACACAGGAGATCACTACCACATGTAATAGCTCAAAATCTGCTTCCTTGAAATGTCGGGCAGTGTTGGGTAACATAAACTGAGGGATCAGTGACAGGTGGGTACAGCATCGTAATCGGTTAAAAAACAGATTTTTCAGCTTTCCCTGGTCTTTTTGCAGTTATTTGGACAGACCGAGCTAATTCCTGCTTCTACTAGTTTTTAATTCCCTGCTTAACCATTGCATAATGGAAATTTCCAGGTCGGATTACGAAGAAGCACTGCACTGCATGACTGATCGACTTATCGACGAAGCATCGGCAGAAATATTTAGCAGTGACGCTTCATATTACTTCCTCCTTCTCCCAAGCTTAATTCCAGGTTTACTCTTTTAGAGCTATTTAGTACGTATCAGTTTTCTATGTAATCTCGTACCCTTGCTAACAATACTTCATCAGTGTTGTAAATCAGCCATTTGAGTTTTGTGCAGTTCTGTGAAGAAATCTGGAGAAAAGGAGATTTCATAGACATATCCTTCTCACTTACTGTATTGTTTAATTTTTCGATGTTGGTCTTTTTTGCATTCGCGAAATTGAGGCTTTCAATAAAATAACTAATCACATCAGAAAAATACCTTAAAATTGGAATTTCAGCAATCCTAATTTTTAATTTTCTTATCTGGTTTGGATTCGAGTTTTTCATCAACAATTAGTCAATGTCAGATGACGATATCGGCTTATCTCACATCAACCTTTCCTGATCTCCCGATTGAAGTAAAAGATTACGTTGAAGGTGTCACTTATCATACCATTCACCAAATTCAAAAATCAACTTTTTTTGTATCTACTTCTTTGTTTCTGTATCCAAAAATCAACTTTTTGTACTTTCATAAAAACAGGTACATTATATTTACAGCGATTTTAAGAGAAAATGCTGATGACTTGCTGTCGAAAGAAGATGTTATTGAGGCTGTTGGTGTGCACATACAGAGTTCTGTAGAAGGGCTTAGCGATGAGGCTGTTGACCTTGTCTGTGAAAAGCTTGCTTTACTGCTTCATAATGGGTAAGTTTCGTGAAGTGCTTCAATTTGCTTCTAATTACAGTTTTTTGCATCCTATTAGCATGCAAAATCTTTCAAATTTGATAACTGAATTCCAGAAAAAGTTTTGCTCAGCGATCAAATGAAATTGGTCAACGGCGCCTCGAGCATACTGTTGATATAAGTGCTCAACATTTTGATTCCGAGGATGTTACAGGCATATGGAAAGTTAGTACTCGAGAAACACCTTCAGTAAGTTGCACAACATATTCGACTTCACAAAAGTGAGACGCAACGATCATGGAAATCATAACAGTGAAATGTTTTGCAGCAAGTAGATAAGAAGAAACTTGAAAGGGCTGAAACACGGGCATTAGAAAAGGCCACAAAACGTGAAGTTGGTGATGGTCCAAAGATACAAAAAAAGAGATCAGCTGATCTTGTAGCTACAGCTTCACAGTCAACAAGTCGTCGTGATGGGAAATCTGATGCTTCTGGAGGTGGGAGTGTAATGGATGTACACCTTAATAATGTTGATATATCAATAGGGCCCAAGTAAGTTTTTGACAACTTCTGAAATGAGAAGGTTATTGGTATCCAAATCGAAAGCTCATTCATCTAGATTCAATAAAAATAATTTGCTTCTTTGTTCTTTCAATGAAATACAGCGGTCTCCTCAATTTTTTAGGCAGTTACTGTGTGGCGCTGATGTTGTTTTAACTTATGGTAGACGTTATGGTCTGGTTGGTCGAAATGGAGCTGGAAAATCTACTTTTCTGAAAATGATTTCTTCGTAAGATTTAGAATGAAACTTTTGTTTGTTACACAACAATCACTTAGTTACCGTTGCTATAACGGGTGAAGATTGTAGAATATTTCCACATTACTTTACTTAACTGTACTCTGTACTAAGCGTAATATAATGTTAATATCTTTTTTTCAGGAAACAGCTGAAGATTCCCTCTAATATCAGCATGTTAAGTGTTGAACAGGAAGTAGAAGGTGATGATACAGAAGTAAGGCAATCTGTGTTACAGAGCGATACGCAGAGGATGGCATTGTTGCTCCGTGAAGAAAATTTGCAGAAACTGCTTAAAGAGTAAGTTTTGACATATCAATTCCTTAACGTAATAAGATGAATAAGGAATGAGACATCTTAGATAATTTGAACTGTTTTTCATTTCACCTTCCTTGATGTCAACTTCGGAAATTAAGTTTTTAGAAAACTGGCAGATTCTTTCTTAGAAATCTTTTGGAAAATTTAAAGACTGATTCATGTTCCAGATCTCTTAGCGATGAAGATAAAGAGAAATATGGTATGGAACTGGGGAAAATTTACACAGAAATGGAGGAAGCCCAAATGGACAAAGCGCCCGCACGTGCTGCATCAATACTTTTTGGACTTGGTTTTACACCAGAAGAGCAGAAACAGCCCACGAAGTATCTATTACTGTTTTTAATTTTTTTCTGGTTCTGCATAGCCTGTTTGATAAGCTTTATTGATAAACTTTCAATCTACAAATTGAAGGTTTTTTTTTTTTTTTTTTTTATAAATGCATTCTTCAGAGAATTTTCGGGTGGTTGGCGGATGAGATTAGCTTTGGCAAAGGCTCTGTTCATGAGGTATGTTTCACTTAGAGTAATTTAGAATTCTTTTGTCAAGAGAAAACTTATTTTATAATTTTGTTTTTTGCAGGCCTGACTTACTTTTGTTGGATGAACCAACAAATATGTTGGACATGAGAGCAATTATTTGGTTGGAAAATCACCTTCAGGTATTATTTAGATTTTTATGAATCCTGACTTCAGTTTTTTTTTTTGTTTAATATAAACTTTGCTAAGATATTCATAAATTCTGGTAAGGTTTTTTGGACAAAAAAAATAACACCACATGTGCTTCAGTGAAACATTCGGTCATGCTTTTAGTAGATTTGATAATACAATTGATAAAATTCACAGTACTTTTATTTAATATAAATTATTCGCTACTGCTGATCTGTCTTAGTGCAATAATTGCAGGAATGGGCTTCTACAGTTGTGATAGTTTCTCATGATCGCAATTTTTTGAACACTGTTTGCACGGATATTATACACTTGCATTCAAAGAGGCTAGATCAATATAAAGGTAATTATGCCGTTTTCGAGAAAACAATGAAAGAGAAATTAACGCAGCAAGAAAGGTTTGCTACTTTCTTGTTTTAGTATTTGTTTGTTTCATTTCATTAGTGCAAGCAGTTACAGCTGTATATTTATATTTTAATTTTCTTGATAATTTTTCTAGTGGGATTCACGTATTTTGATGGACGTTTTCAGAGAATACGAGGCACAGCAACAATTCCGTCAACATACTCAAGAATTTATCGATAAATTTCGATATAATGCTAAACGAGCATCGATGGTGCAAAGTCGTATCAAAATGCTTGAAAAATTGTAAATTAATTTTAAAAAAACTGCAATTTTCCTTAATTGCTGCGCTAAAACTCACAAATCAGCAACATTTTATGATTTAAAATTATATGTGGAAGAAAACATTAGTGTATAGTTTTACTATCACTGACTGCCAGCGCTGCAATGAATGATCCCCATTTCTCATCGAGAATGTTTACAACTTTTTTTTTTCAGACCAAAGCTTAAACCTATTGTTTTGGAAAGTGAAGTGAAGCTGAGTTTTCCCGACTGCGAAGTATTAAATAATTTGGTACTACAGTTAGACGATGTCTCTTTTAGGTAATTTGAAATAAACCTGGACGGTTCCATTATTAAATTGCATAAATTTAAAATGTTGCTTGAAATATTTTCGAGATAAATTTTTGAAACTGTGATATAAATTGTGCATGGATTTTCTTACAACACTCGAATCATTTTTCTTCGTTTTTATCTCTATCATATTTCTCACATTTCTTAATTGAGAATTGAGTGAAAGAATACACATCCTTTGATGCTTGATATGTTTTATTATCTGGTCTGTATTTTAGGTATACATCAATTTCACCGATAATATTTAGTAAGCTGCAAATTGGTTCGTATGCAGATTCACGCATTTGCATTGTACGTTTGTTACTTTTGGCAAGCATTCAAAATTTCTGTAAGGCAGGTAAAAATTCCGGTTCAAATGAAAGAAGGATAGATGTTGATTCAGACTGATTATGTATTCAAGTTTAATTACAGGTTGGGGAAAATGGGGCTGGTAAAACGACACTGCTAAAATTGCTTCTTGGTGACTTACAGCCAACAAGTGGTTTCCGAAATGCCAATCGCCGCTTAAAAATAGGGTACTTTTCGCAACATCATGTTGACCAGCTTGATATGGATATATCCGGCATAGAAGTACTGGAGAAAAGATTTCCCGGTATTTTACTCTTATAAGAATTTATTAGGGCACTCTTTATTCATTCCAGTTGAATAATTTTCTTCCTTTACTTTAAAGTTTTTTCTTTGATGCTTTTATTTATAGGTAAAAGTCAAGAAGAATACAGAGCTGCTCTTGGTCGGTTTGGACTCTCTGGTGATTTAGCGCTGCAGTCGGTCGTAACTCTCTCTGGTGGACAGAAATCTCGTCTCGCTTTTGCGAGCATTGCTATGTCGAAGTAACTTTGCTTAAGTTTTGCAATCAATACTTTGCGGTGGCATGAGCTGTTCCTTTGCTCGAACTTTTGAGCTGTTTTTTTTTTTTTTTGATAGAGTAGTCAGGAGTTCTACCCTTTTTGCTTTATGCTTTAATTATTAATTCCTCATTGCAGTCCTAATTATTTGATCATGGATGAACCTACAAACCACCTGGATGTAGAAACGGTTGAAGCATTAGGTAGAGCGCTGAATTCGTTT